TACTCCTTGGCTCCTTCTTACTGCTGTCGTTCAGCCACACCCTTGTCTTATGGTAGGAAAGATCAACACCTAGCCTTCCCGGACAAGGGCAAAAAATCTCGGAGGTCCCGTGTGCAAGTTACACACGTTAAAGATTCCTTGGCGGTCCAAAATCGATAGTAAGAATAGAATAGGCTTTGGCCGCCACCCTGGCAAAATTCAAACTTTCCTATCAACTGAGTATGTTTAATCCTTCCCGCACTCATATGACCTAATGCAGTTGCGAGTGCCGTAAAACACTTACAACTAAAAAAGTACATCTTCCCTCCCTTCACAGTTTTTTTTCAATGAAAGGGTTTTTTATATAAAAAAGGATTTTTTAATTTTACATTTTACCCGGGGAGCGGCCTCCCTGGAGACTCTTCTACGACTTCCCACCTCCAAGGAATCTTTGACGAGTGCAACATCTTGAAATTGTTCGTCTCATATACTCGCTTCGAGTATTAAGCACACACACACACACACACACACACACACACACACACACACACACACGAGACCTCAGTTTTTAGTCTCTCGTGGTTTTATTTTATCCGAGCAGACTTTTTTTTTCTGAAAGGTTATACAATTTTGACCCAGTGCGTATTTTTCTGTGAATCTTTTGTGTAATTTTGATGTTTAAATGGGGGGAAAAGTAGGAGAAAGAGGGAAGAAACCACCTGTTAGAGGGACGGATTTGAATGAGAAATGTGAAAAAGAGAGGAACAGAGAGTGAGGCATAGAGCTTTAGGGAAGGAATTTTAAAAGCCCTTCTTACGCCTCCCCCCTCCCGAGGAATGGGAGGGAGAGGGTGAGGCATAGAGCTTTTGGGGAGATAAATTTTGTATAAACGCCCCTTGTCTGATCCCCCCGCCTCTCAAACACATATACACTCAAACGCAGACACACACACACACACACACACACACACACACACACACACACACACACACACACACACAGCCTCCCCGGAGCAGCACAAAAAAGCGAAAAGCGACGATTGAAGTCGGATAGAATGAGTAGGGGGAATAAGATCGTCAAGCTTGAGCTTCTTTGAAAACGCGGCCGGATCCCCGAGTACTTGAAAAGCTCGTCATTCGCCCCTTAAAATCCACGCATGGCTGGCTTCATAAGCAGGTCTCCGATCTCCGGCCGAGGACTGGCGAGGGCTGGTGGCAGCTAAGCCGCTTGAGACCTCCTGTTTTCCTTTGCCTGCCCCCCTTGCATTATGTGTAACCTAATAATTAAGGTTTTAAGCAGTTTGGGTGCGGAGTATGCTGTGAGAAATGTACATAAGCATACACGCACGCATACCATACGCATACACGTACACACATGCACCTATACGTTCTTATACTAACCACTCTCTGACCGTCTAGACACGCACGCATGCACACTGCTGCACGCACACACACACACACACACACACACACACACACACACACACACAC